AAAAAAAATTTACTTCTGTGGTTATTTCTTGTTCACTGTGCACAAAATAAGGGCTTATAAATCTCTTTCCTCTACAGGAATGATATTTTTGTGTTCCTGTTAAGCACAAGAGCTGGAGGCTTGGGCATTAACCTTACAGCTGCAGATACGGTAGGTAAAGCTTGGTAATACAGAACAAAAAAAATCAGTTTACTGCTGTTTAGTTTTCAGTATAACAATTTCTTTGCCTTTTCCTGCTTCATATACCTCCAATCACTGTTTTTTTCCATGGTGGTCGTGCCTCACAGCCTCATAAAGGCACAGTGGTTTAGGTGAATTGCAAGGATTTGCATTGTGGAGCTCCTGCCTGTAATCACAAGGGAAGGGATACTGATCTACATGGATCATTTCTCTCTTTCTTGTGTTTCTAACCCAGTACCTTGTGTGCATGCAGATTTGGCCTCAAGACAGATTGTAATCCTTAGCCACAAAGCAACCAAAGATCTCTGAACCAAAATATTACATAATTATTTTTTTTTCCTCAATTCTCCATTGTATCTTGCTATAACGTAAAAGAAATCAGAAGAAAGCAGTTACCTGAAGGATTTTCAGGGTTGGAAAGTTCTCTTAATTTAAGTTGCTTCAACAAAGAAAAGAAGCAGATGGAAGCACAGACATGCTCCTACAGGCTCCTTGCACAAGCATTTTTAGTTCTGTGTTTCTGTAGCTTTCTGAATAGTTTACTTCACTGTCTAAAATGTTTTGAGATGTTTTTGTTCTGTATGGATGCTGTGCATGAAGCAAGGTCAGTACAGCCTGTGCTGGGGTAGTAATTCTGCCAGGTGTATAGTACAACTTTTTATCAGTGTATTGGATTTTTGTTTGTTTAATCACCAGATGCCCTAAACATGTTTTTATTTAATCCTTTCTGTTCTGGTGTTCTTCTGCAGGTGATTTTCTATGACAGTGACTGGAACCCAACAGTAGACCAGCAGGCCATGGACCGGGCACACAGGCTGGGCCAGACCAAGCAGGTCACTGTGTACAGGCTGATCTGTAAAGGCACCATCGAGGAGCGCATCCTACAGAGGGCCAAGGAAAAGAGTGAGGTAGGAATACAGAAATCATCTGGGACAAGAATTACAGAAATGGTGTCAGAAAACAGATATCAAGATGAGTAAAGAAACAGAAAAAGTATCTGCAGTGTTCTGTCATTACAGACCCTTGTGAATAGACGTTCCCCCACCTTCTTGTAGGCCCCCTTCAGATACTGGAAGGTCACTGTACGGTCCCCCTGGAGCCTTCTCTTCTCCAGGCTGAACAGCCCCAACTCCCTCAGCCTGTATTCATAGGAGAGCTGCTCCAGCCCTCTGATCATTTCTATGACTCTCCTCTGGACACGCTCCAACAGCTCCACATCCTTCTTGTGCTGGGGTCTCCAGAGCTGGACATAGAACTCCAGGTGAGGTCTCACCAGGGCAGAGTAGAGACACAGGAGCACTTCTCTCAGTCTGCTGGTCACACTTATGTGGTCTCACCAGGGCAGAATCACCTCTCTCCATCTGCTGGCCACAGTTCTTTTGATGCAGCCCAGGATGCGATCGGCCTTCTGAGCTGCAATTGCACATTGGTGGCTCATGTCCAGTTTTTCATCGACCAGCACTCCCCAGTCCCTTTCCACAGGACTGCTCTCCAGCAGATCCTCTCCGGCTTATACTCATAGTTCTGGTTGCCCTTGCCCGGGTGCAGGACCCTGCACTTGGTTTTGTTGAACCTCATGAGGTTCACCTGAACCCACCTCTCCAGCCTGTCCAGGTCCCTCTGGATGGCTTCCTATCCCTCTGGCATATCAACCACACCTCCCAGCTTGGTATCATCACATTAGGTTGTTATGGGGGATGGTGCCAAAGGCCTTGCAGAAGTCCAGCTAGACAACATCCACAGCTCTTCCCATGTCCACTGATGCTGTCACTTCACTGTAGAAGGCCACTAGGTTGGTCAGGCAGGACCTGCCCCTAGGAAATTCATGCTGACTACCTAGGATCACCTCCCTGTCCTCCATGTGCCTTAGCATTCTTCTAGGAGGATCTGTTCCATGATCTCCCCAGGCACAGAGGTGAGGCTGACAGGTTGTTAGTTCCCAGGGTCGTCTTCTTCACCCTTTGTAAAGGTGGGCACGATGTCACCCTGTTTCCAGTCACCAGGGACCTCACCTGACTGCCAGGACTTCTCAAATATTACAGAGGGTGTCTCAGCAACTGCATCAGCCAGTTCCTTCAGTACTCTGGGATGCACCTCATCAAGTCCCATGGACTTACTTATGTTCAGGTTCCTCAGGTAGTCATGAACCTCGTCCTTGCTTACAGTGGGAGGGACTTTGTCTACCTGGTCCTTGTCCTGTGGGCCACCAACTTGAGGGCTGTGAGGAGAGATACTGAAGGTGAAAAACTGAGGCAAAGAAGTTATTGAGTACCTCGGCCTTCTCCTCATCTGCTGTTACCAATTCACCGTTGTTGATCACCAGGGTGATTAACACCTTCTTTTTTGGTGATAAACACCAGGGTGGGTACACCTTCTTTGACCATCCTTTTCTGATTTGGGCACTTATAGAATACCACAGCTGATTGGTTTTCTTTTAAAGCCACTTGGAAGGTAATCAGGTGAAAATTATTTGAGGTGTGAGGGTTGCCAGAAGTGCTCAGGGTCTTGCAGCATCAAGCAGTAAGTGTATTAGAAACTTTAAACCTCACAACACTTTATTGGCAAGAAGAAATGAAACAGATTCACTTTCTTTTGTAGCAGTAGGTATACTGTATACAGCATTCAGATAGTTTGTGTACTCAGTGGTTCTTCTAACTTTTGTCCTAATTAGATGCTGATCATGGTGTTGCAGCAACTGAAGCATCTCCAGCTGAATGCATTCTTGTATCCCTTGTTAAAACTTAGCCATTTTCTCCAGAAAACTGCACTAGAGTCACCTGATAACAACCTGAAAATAAAGTGTAGTCTTTTTGCCAGTGATCCAAAAATCATCAAAATTGGCTTACACTAAAGCTTCTTTTGCTACGTTACAATTTTTCTTTGTTTTGTTTTCAAGCATAGTTGCAGTAATAGATGCTGAGGGAATTGCTTAAACTGAGACACTGCCTCACTATGGAGGTTGAGTTTTCAGTTAAGGAGACTAAAAACGTTTTACACTTTAAGAATGTGATCTGCATCATCCTCTGCAGATCACTTGAGAAGAGAAATTGGACTGATAATTTATACACAACAAGAGTACTGCTGTATTTACTGGTTTTGTTTGGCAGTTTATTAATACTATTATCATTTTTTGTTTATTACATGGTGGTTTAGAAGTGCAGCTTTGCACAAGGGATGGCGATTATCTGTTCGAGCTCAGTTGCTTCACATATTTTATACTCTTAATAAATCTTCACTGAAATTTTGCTAAGTTTGGTATGATAGAGAAGCTGAGTCAATTCTGACTGACACAGATGCACTGGCATCTTTTTTGGCTGGCTTTCAGAAGGGTAGTGAGAATGGTTCATGGCTGCTTTGAGTAATTTTTTTCCTTTCTTTCCTTTCTTTTTTTCTTCTCCTAGATCCAACGAATGGTGATCTCGGGTGGCAATTTCAAACCTGACACCTTGAAGCCAAAAGAGGTGGTCAGCCTTCTGCTGGATGATGAGGAACTAGAAAAGAAATGTATGTGAAATTCATGTTGCAGCATTTTCCCCACCTTCCTTTTCATTAGCTTATGAAGTCTGTGGTTTTATCTCTGCAAACACATGTATTGCTGATAACAACTTCTGTTTCCTGGCTCTGTGTTGCCAGCTCTTGTTAATACAAGCTGGTTTCATATCACTGTTGAACTCGAAGATGAAGTTGTGCAAGAGAGACGTGATGATGTGATACAAGTTTTTATTGGCACTCATTCAGGATCATTACATTGTTCCTGAATGACAAAGCTTTGACAAGAATTATGTAGGTCATGACAAGAAAAACGTGAGAAGTGCTGTATTTCATCATACTTTTGAAGTTCTGTTAGAGGGATAAACTTTTATGTTGCTTGAAAGAAGAATTCCACTGCAAGATTCTTTAGTATTGTGAATACAAGTAGATTTAATACAGTAGTGTTTTCATTGTGGTTTAGTTTTAATCCAGCTGACTTCTGTTCAGAGTTCTGTTAGAACTAGAGTTTCTTGTGGGATACACAGAAGGGTGTGAAAAACCTTTCCAGTGGTGACAGCTTTGTCCTTCTCTTCCCCCAGTGCGGCAGCGTCAGGAGGAGAAGCGACAGCAAGAGGAAACAAACCGTGTGAAGGAGCGAAAACGTAAAAGGGAGAAATATGCTGAAAAGGTGCTTTGAGACACAGAGCTCACCTGTGGCAGGGGCAGAGCCAGAAGAGCTTCAGGCTCAGTGTTAAGTGGTGTGGAAACATTTGATGCAAAAGCAGTCGAATGAGTAAAGCCTTCCCCATTGAAGAGCAACCTGTGGCACTTCCTTCCATCGTAGAAGGGATATTACAAAATACATAATGTGTAGTTATCTGGTTTTTAACATCATTAACAACTTGAAAAATAAGGAAGTGCTGCGTGCCCAAACAACACTGCAGATCACCAGTAGGCTGCAGGCAGCAGTTGGAGGACTCGGGCTTGATAAAAAACAAACCAATCAACTTGTCATTCCCTGGCCTATAAAATGATTACTTCATCAAGAGTTTGTTCTGCAAGGACAAAAAGGGAATGTAAACAAAGCACCAAACACAGATAAAACCCATGTAGCTGTGTGGCTTCTGTGGAACAAGGCAATCAGTTTAGTTTTAATGATCTTTTCTTAAACAGTTTTGAAAACCATTTTATTTTTGAGACAGAAGGACATTTTGTGTAATGATAAAGAATTTTGGTAATGGAAATCAAAGTAATTCTGTAAGAGTAATTTGCTGTTGTTCCACCTATTTTGAGAAGTAAAAGAACAAACCCTACATAAATCTAAAGGAGGAGCCTTTAACTGATTTGATAATGTGTCGTTCAGAAACGTGTTTGGGGAGATTCTGGACATGGAATTACTGGAGTTATAATAACAAGTTAGATGTTAAGATTTTGGGTTGCTTATTCCCTTTCTTCTGTTCTACGGTCTTTTTCATTCCTGGTATTGTTGTATTTCTTTCAGAAGAAGAAGGAGGATGAATTGGATGGGAAGAGGAAGAAAGAGAGCATGAACCTTGTGATCCCATTTGTTCCCTCAGCTGATAACTCCAACCTGTCTGCTGACGGGGACGACTCCTTCGTTAGTGTAGACTCAGCCATGCCAAGCCCCTTCAGTGAGGTGAGAACACTATGCACTCTTCCAGTCGTGGCCTCCCATCTTGTAGGATTCTTGCTTTCTGCTAGTTTAGCTAGCACAGAACTTTAAGTATGTGGGGAAGTGAGATGTCTCAAAGGTGAACCATAGAAATAAAAATCATTTCTTGAAAACAGCTGCTAATAAGCTTCTTTACAGCTCCTCACATTATTTCCCGTTCCACTGTTCCCCTCTTCATTCACTCTCTTCCTCCCTTTCTTACACAGAGTTCATGCCCTGAACATCTTATTTTCCTTCACCTTTTTGTAAAGAATTGCAAACTGGGTTTAGCAGCGAATACATTTTGTTCTACACTGTTAAGGTTCCTGTGTTATATTGTTCTCTTAGTGACCAAGATTTTTATTAGCAGTAGGAGGAGGTTAAGAATCCTATTGTTCTCTCTTTTGCAGTTGAAGATGCACAGTTGAACAGCAGTTTTCTTAAACTGCTGCTGAGACCATTAATCTCCTGCTTTCTAATTTAACATCTATTTTTGTGAACTGAAATTGAGTAAGCTCCTGGAGATCTTTATTGCTGCTCAGCATATAAATAGGGGCTGTGGTGTGATCCTGTATCGTTCTGCTAGCGTGGCACAGAGAGCATGAGAGAGAACAGGACAAATACCAGTTAATGACTTGTGACTGTATGCCTTTTGAAGATCTTACCATGTTTTCACTCTCTCCTAACATGAGAAGCAAACGGCTGTGTTCTCTGTCATATTTAGATATCCATTAACAGTGAGTTACACATGGGCTCTATCCCTCCCGACGAGAGCAGCAGTGATATGCTCGTCATTGTGGATGATCCAGCTTCTTCAGCACCACAGTCGAGGGCAACAAACTCTCCTGCTTCCATTACTGGCTCAGTGTCAGATACCATGAATGGTCAGTACTTTTGCCTTACTACTACCATTTATTACACGTGGAGTTTGTGTGGCTCGGTGATATTTTTTCTGCATTTTAACCAGAGTATGTGTGTGGATGGCAAGATATGGGGGGGGGAAGAAAAATTGCCTTTGCATGGAGAAGTTACTTCTGATTTGATTCTGTTTATAGTATATCACTCACCACGCTTTTCCCTTTTTTGTGTTACTCTTAAAAGTTTTGTCTCTTGTTCCTGCATTACCAAGGGCTTTCCTTCCATTATCTGCATTTTACCAAGTTACAGACAGCCCCAGAGCTATGAATCTCTGAGCTTTTCCTTGAACTCGCTGTTCAGCTAATAATCCATTGTCTATTACCAGTGGGAGATTGGAGCAGCTGTAATTTTAAATAATGCCAAATGTTTTTAACTACCATAGCTTTCTACACTGAAATAAGTAGAGCTGTAATTCTTGACGAGTTTATTTAGAAATAGCAAATGGAAGAAACTTTGTATCTGTCTTTAAGGGAATGCATCATCCTGAAGCAGAACCTAGAATCCTCCACCTGTTTGTGGATTGCATTAGTAATTATAATGACGAGCAATGGGAGCTAATTAGATGCGGTTAATGAAGAGTGAAGTTTTGTTTACATAATTTCTTCTCGTGGGATGACTGCTTGCTAGCAGGGTCCATACTAATGTCAATGAAAAGGAGCAGTTAATGGGCACGGTGCTGACGTCAGGGGCAGGTGCTTAGGGTGCTCCAGC